ACCTGGCCCCCCGGCTCAAAAATGTTCCCTACCCCTGCCATAGACCTTGTTCTGATAAACTTGCTTACTTATCTGGAGAGGAATTATCCTGTGATTCAAGAGCCTTTGGTTCTTTTTTTCAGAAATCTTTTCCTGGCTTTTGACTCACAGCAGTCACCAAGTTGGCCTTTGGATCATGTCAACAAGCTGAGATTGGAGAACATTTAGGCTCCATTATCTTCAAATGTTCTCATGTAAATAAGCTCATGCACCCTGTGTATTTCTATTAAAGATCACACAGTCTCTGCTCATAGGTGGTTGGAGACTTCTGTTTTCTCCCACATCTTTGTATGTACATTTTGTACTTCAGAGTAGCTGCTATACATTCTTGATTCTGGAAATCATTTCTTAAGGATGCTCAACCAAAGTGCTAAACCTATTTCGGGGATAGGATTCAACACTAAGACATCCTTCTGTAATCCAAACTTACAGTGTTTTGTGTGATTTGTTTTTGTTTTTCAGTTGATGTTTGAATTTGTTGTAGACACTCTTTCTAGGGGGCTGATGCTTTACTCTTCTGATTGGTTTCTGTGACACAATGTTCTGAACTGATGCCCTTGTAGCATATAGTGTTTTGCTACCCTAGCTGATTTGTTGTTTTCCTAATGGTGGTGGCTGGTGTGTGCTCTCAAATTGTTTCCCACTTATGGCAACCCTAAGGGAAACCTATCATTGGGTTTTCTTTGCATGTACCGTGTTTCCCTGAAAATAAGATATACCCATAAATAAGCCGTAGTAGGATTTCTAAGCATTTGCACATTATAAGCCATAACCTGAAAATAAGACATAGGGCCGATGCAGATGGGGCGGCTTTTCTGGGCCACCCCTGGTAGCGGCGGATCGGGGCTGAAAGGGCTGCAGCCCCAATCCTCCTCTTTGCTGTCCCCAAAAGAGTGGCTCAAGGGGCCACTCCTTTTGGGGGTGGCAAAGAGCCAGCCTTTGAACTGCAACCTTGGATCTTTTTTTGGGCTGCCCCAGGGAGTGGTGGATCCACCATTCCCAGGGGCAGACCAGAAAAGAGCTGCGGCTGTGGCTCAAAGGGTCACAGCCATGATCCTTGTCTTTGTTGCCCCTGAAAGGAGTGGCCCTTTGAGTCGCTCTTTCGGGAGCGGCAAAGAGCCTGCTTTTGAGCCGCGGTGGCAGCTCTTTTGCACCCTTTTGGTGCAGCGTGTATGCATGCTGCTCCAAGAGGGCGCCCTGTCACCACGCAGCATGCAGATGGGCGCGTGGCGTCAGGGCTGAGTCGGGACAAATAAGACATCCCCTGAAAATAAGCCATAGTGTGTCTTCTTGAGGCCAAATAAATAAATATAAGACAGTGGCTTATTTTTGGGGAAACATGGTATCTTCAGAGGGGGGTTGCCATTGCCATGACTCTGTTGATTGCAAGATCGGCAGGTTGGCAGTTCAAGGCCCAGGTGCTGCATGATGGGGTGAGCTCCTATCATTAGTCCCAGCTTCTGCCAACCAAGCAGTTCGAAAGCATGCAAATGCACATAGATAAATAGGTACCACTACTCAGTGGGAAAGTAAACAGTGTTCTGTGCAATCATGTTGGCCCTATGATCACAGAGTAGTCTCTGACCACACTGGCTCTTTGGCTTAGTAACGGAGATGAGCACCACCCCCTACAGTCGGACATGACTTGACAACCTTGTCAACAGGAAATACCTTTACCTTTAGGGTTTTACCATCCAGATGTTTGATAAAGTAACTACAAATAACTTTTTTTAAAAAAATATAGGAAATTAAACTGTTGCTTGTAAAAAAAGAAATCACCTAATAATTGGTGTGGGGGCTGCAAATATCATGGTAAAGTAATTAATTTTAAAAGTAACTTCCCTAGCTTTGTAGAAGAAGCATTGAATTTCCTGAATAAATTGTTAAGAGGAATTCTTGCATAAGAAAAGCTGTCAGAGAGAAGCAGGAGCTTACAGGGTTAAGATGGCCTTCATATATCAGCTGTTCTTTTGTGCCTTGAACTTCACATGCTTTTTTCTAAAGTATCTTAAGTGCAGGATATAAAGATTAGCCCCCCCCTCGGTTTCCTCTTCCCCCCACTTTCCTGTTATTCTTCCTCTTTAAGGACTAGGAGAGGATGGTATTTTCCTCTTCAAAAAACAAATTCTAGTTAATACAAGAAAACAGAGCAAGACATGGCATTTGTAGCTAGCATCAGGTCTGGGACACTAATGAAGATATTTACAAAGAAGGAAAAAATCATATTCAGGGTTGATGTGCTCTCATGCAGTCTATTCATTATTCTCTGACTGGTGGTGATCCATTCCCCAAAAGACCTGAGGCATTTCTGACCATTCACAATCACTCCCTTTCCTTCTACTGTTGTCTATATGCTTGTCAGGCCAGGGGACATGGAGGGAGAAGACCTGAATTCCATATTAGTGAATTCAAAACTAGTTAATAGAAATTAATTAAATTCAGGATATCACAAGGCAAGATAGACAGAGCTTGAGGGCTCCTGATAAAGTAATTAAAATTACGTTTGGGGGTTTAAGCTTGAGTGGTTTCTATGTATTATCAGAACCACAAGATTGAATTACAGCCACAGCGGCCTCATGCATTATTTATACTGTTGCTGTTTAAAGGGGGAAGAAAACACAATAAAACAATATTAATTCTATAAATGGCATAAAAATAGTCTTGAGTGTCAGGCCTGGTGCGCTTTTGACATTGGACATGATGAACTGGGAGTCTCTTAAAGTATAGTTCATGTTGAAGGAAAAGAGTTTGTCCCATCTGATGGTGACTGGACAAGTTGGGTGCCCTTCAAAATAAAAAAGAGCGGTTGTTGTTGTTTGCCTTCAAATTGTTTCAGATGTATGGAAACCCAAAGATGGACCATCTATCACAGGCTTTTCTTGGCAAGGTTTGTTCAGGGGAAGCTTGGTGTGTTCTCCTTTCTGAGTTTTCCTAATAAAA